AGATTACTAATTAATATTTAAAATTGTAATAATTATAAAAATAATAGCAAAATTAAATAAATAATTTTCCATATTCAATTATAATTAAAATTATAAAAATGTTTAAAGTTAAAAAATATTGTAATGTAATTGGTGCAATTTTCATTTTGTTAATTGTGGGTAGGCTGTCTGTAACAACTATACATTCAAGACATGTAACACCTCAGTCTCTCCCGTGACCATGGATGCTGTAAAGCATTCGAAACGTCGGGAAACAAAAATCCAAATAAATCCGCGACAAAATCCGCCATCTATTTAAAAAATATATATGCATGCGTGAGTGTGTAATGTTAATTTATTTCAGAAAGTAAAGGCCATTTTTTTATTTTTATTTAAATAATATAATTAGTTTATAGGACGAAGGCGATCAATCACAAATCAAAGATTAAAGTATTATTTTCGCAGAAGAAGTTCATTTTTTGTTATTTATTACTTTTTACTCTACTAAATATTATAATAATTTTAGTCCCTCTGTTTGCAATAACGTCAGTCAGATATCAGGAAAAGACTTGGAATATTTCGAAGCAACTTTTAATTTAAATATACAAACAATAACAGTGTCAACTAAAATTATCAATCCATATAGCTATATTCCATTGTACACTCTCATTGAACTGAATATAAATTCAGAAGCGTGTAAAGTTGTAGCCAGAAGCTAGTATACAATTTATTTGTACTGAAAATGAAATAAAATTTCACAATGCCTTTTCATTTCAAGACTTATAGGTTGTACTACGCGCTTTCATCTTACCACAGATTGACCCGACCGCATTATCTAAGTGCTTATTTTGGTTGTATACAGGTTGGATTAAAAATATATATAAAAAGAATATAATAATATCCGCCCCGTCCGATTCCGGCCACGGCGGCCAATCTCATTGAGACTAGCCAACTGCGCAGGAGATATTATAGTGCACAAGTGTACGCGCAGACACAAGTGCACTCTCTATTCCTGTCACTCTCATACTCCGGTGGGTCGACTACTCGACACGACCGGTGAGAGTTAAGGCTCAGGACTTACGTGCTCTCCGAGGCACGGGGGTGAAACACTACCAACTCCGGGCTGTTATTGAGGCTTACTATGCAGAAATACTCAATAACTGAACTTGGCCGGATCCGGGACTCGACCCGAGGCCTCGGGCTCCGTGGACGTACATGCTAATAACTACACCACAGAGGCAGTAAAATATGTCCATATTATGTATATACAGGACATTTAATATAATTTTGGTGCTCCAAAACTATGCTAGGATACCTATTTTAAATAAAATTCCAATTTCGATTTTTTTCACGGCTTTATTTGGATTTTTGACCACGGAGAGACTGAGCTGTAAAGCATTCAACAAATTGGAAGTCAAAAATTTCTTGGCTCTCCTTGAAAGCATTGCTTTCCGAGCAGAAGCAATACCATAACTACCTCAATTAAGTTACTACTGAAATTCAATTTTAAACAATTAAATAATTACTTCGAAGCTGATTTTGATTGACATTGAATTTTGATTGACATTGCAGTTCTAATTCTTTTGACGGTTGTCAAACTGGTTTTTATCTTCTTTTGGTTTCATTTAAAATAAACGTTTATGTTGCTAGAATTAAATGGAGTTCTGTATAAAGTACTAAAATAAATTATTTTTCTTCTGAGCAAGGGTTTCAGCCTGAATCAATTAATTTATATGTAATAAGCAATACCTATAGGTATAATATAATAAATGAGGCATACGTTACTACTATAAAGCTTAAATTAAAATATATTTTAATTACGATACGTTTGGTTCAGTTTGTAGTGACAATACTTGTTGTGCCAACGGTCGCGGTTTCGAGTCCCGCTGGGGCATTCATTTGTGTACAACAGGCCTTGTAGCTTACTATGGAAATAGATAGTGCTGTGTATTAATGTCCGAACATTTATTTATTTGTTTAATTGTTTGAAACTAGTAATATCTGCATTTTTATATACACTCTGTATATAAAAAACGATGGAACGAACAATGTTTAAAACAAAGAAAGTAACGAGTAGCTTCAACCGCAGGTATTTAATATCTAATCCCCATAAAGTACTTTACAATAATAAATAATATGCACACAAATCTGAGCCTTAATACAATGCTAATAAATCTCAAATTTACAAAGAACTCCCAATGATTATGCATTTCCGAATGTTTTGAAATAAACGTTACAAGACCTTAGTAGGTACTTCAACTTTTCCCTAGTAAATGTTATTTGGTAATATTGAAAATGATAATTATTTATAATTTATTGATTAAAATTCGACCGTAATCACTATACACATAATTAAAAAATATATTTTTATAATGAAACTTTTATTTAAATGCTCTATCACGAGACCTATTTTATAAAAAACACATTACTTTTTAAAACTTTGTTTCTTGTTCATCTACACAGGTTTTCGCGACAAGCTTTTATATCATACTAGCGACTTATCCTCGCCCTGCTCAGGTTCGTCCCTAGGTTGATTCCCCATACAAACTTCCATCCCCATTATCACCCCCTTAAGGGATGTTTTCCGGGATAAAAACTCTACAATCCTATGTGCTTCCCAGGATCTCAAATCATCTTCATACCAAATTCCATCTAAATCGGTTTAGTAGATCCAGAGATTACTCTCTAAAACCTCACAAACTTTACCTCTTTATAATATTAGTATAGATAGACAACGTATAACAAAACTGAAATATTATATAATAAGAATAGTTATAGCAAGTGTACTTAAGAAGATAGCCATATACTATTGCGGACTTTTCTGTAAAAAAATTTAAGACCTACAATTTTCTAGTACATTTTTTTGATATATCTCTTAAGGTTTAGCTATAGCTATAGCGTTAGCCATATAAATTTCTAATAACGACTCGACAGAACAAGTTATCGTATTTTCCAGTGAGAACGAAAAATTTGCCTGAAGTAAAAGATATCCTTAATGTTGAACCGAGTAATAAGTTACCACTACACAAAATTTAGTTAAAATAGGTTCAGTACTTCTTGCGTAATTACCTAAATTAATTAAGGTATTGCGAGTGTACCTTAAGAGATAGACATATACTATTGCAGATTTTTCTGTAGGCCTTTTCAAGACCTACGTTTTTTACCACATTGTTTTGATGTATGTCTTCCGGTTTAGCCAGCGGAAGGTTTCTAAGGAGGACTCGATAAAACCAGTTATTATGTATTCCCGTGGGAAAGAAAGATTTTCCTAAAGTAAAAGGTATCCTAAATGTTGACTCGAGTAATAATTTTCATTAATCACTTCACCAAATTTCGTTGAAATCGTTTCTTTACTTTTTGCTTATACCACAATAGTTCCGATATTTTACTGCCACTACATTCAAATGCAAGGTGTGTATATTACCAAACTAGTCAGGCTTTTATGCTTGTATTGAAAATCTTGTTATTTATTAACAAAATAATAAGTTTTTTTTTAATTAAAAATTGGCTTACTCTTGACCTTCACCTTAGCTCGAAGGCATAGATAAGGTCTATGATCTAGCAACTTTGACCAGGAGAAGCCTATTAACGCATCTTAAATAGTTTCAGGTTGTAAGCTCTCGAAAAAACAGACGCAGGCAGGGCATTCCATTTCTTGGCTGTGCGCATTATAAAAGATGACGATTATTTTTTTTATATTTATTTATATTTTCATAGTCTTTACAAAAAAACTACAAGTAGTACTCGATCTTAAATAACTTTTAGTAAAAGTATCATAATATTATAAGCTTCTAGTTTTTATAAAGATCTACGAAGGAGATACATATATCATATACCTATATTTGACGACACATTTGGCTCAGTGTGTAGTTACCCTACTTGCTGTGCCAGCGGTCGCAGGTTCGAGCCCCGCTGGGGGCATTCATTGTGTGATGAGCACGAATGTTTGTTCTCCAGTCATGTGTGTCATCCATAACACAAGCCTCGTAGCTTACCAAGGAAGTGTGTTAATGTCCCAACGTAAGTAAGATATTGTATATTACATTGATATGTTGATTGATAAAGTAACTAAGTACAAGTGCAAATATGCTTACTTTTGAGTATTGATTGAAACGAAGAACATTAAGTTATTATTAACTACAAATATATAATATTTTGTAATAAAAAAACATAATATATGTTTCAATACTTTATTTATATTAAAATAAATCTTTCAATCTTAACCAATAATCAGATCATTTAACAATCCAATAGAATTTATACATTTTAAAGACTAGACAGTGATATTGAACTGAGATTTGAAACGGAAGAGTCTTAAACACGTATAAAATTTGTTAAACCATATTTACATTACTTTTATTTGAAAGGCTAAATCAGCACCATTATTTAAAACATAAAGTATAAACAATATATCTATATAACATTCCCACACAAAACAATAATACATGGTTACAGATTAAAAATAAAATTGATAACGCACAGATAATAAAAAAACTTTCATATTCTGTGTCAAACGTAAAATAAAAATGAAATTTTCCACGTGCTTTTACATAAACAAACTTATCTTATATATTTACATTATTGTTAGACACGAGTCATTCACTGTAAAATACTGTTATAAATTATATTATCTATTTACAAAATACAGATCTAAGATCAGCAATTAAACTTAAAGCATTATTTGTCATGAGCTCGCGTGACGAAAGTCCAATAAAATAATATACGAGTACACATTTGGTTAGGGTAATATTTCCACTCAAATTTTTGAACAATAATTTATTTTTCTTTCCTTAATGGGAGATGTAACATTTTTTTAAACCAATGCAATCATTATAACTAATTAGTCTTTCCATGGATAATATATGTACATTTTCTCCTTTAATTTCATAAAGATTTTAGCTTCACTTGAAAAACAAACGATTAGTAATAAATCTTATTACTGAATCATCTGTTACAGAAACCATATCTTATGAATACAGTTTGTGGAAATTTCTAGGATCGTTTGAATAATAGTACCCTTAAATGTCACATTCGAATTCGGATACCCTTTTATTCCGACCATCTGGAGCCATTTGGAAATGATTTTCCCTTGTTCCGATTCTTGGAAAGCCATTAAAGCTGTTTCTACTAACTAAAGGGTTCTCTCTTTCCCTCTCTCTATGAAAACTCGATGTTGACAACTTACCATCTTTACGTTCAGTAAAGTTCGATTCGTTAAAGTTTTTATCGGTAAAATTTCTATCAGGAAAATTTTTATCCTGAAAGTTTCTTTCGTTAAACTCTCCGTCGGAAAAATTTCTGTCGTTGAATGGGACGTCTCGGATTCCAAATCCACCCATTCGCGGTGTCCCGATACTAAACTTATTTCGGAGCTCTTCATCTCGTAAGTTAAACGCTCGATTTTCGAATTTTGGTGGTCCCGTTTGTAACCTGAAAAAATAATGGGAATAAAATAATATTATATATGAAGGTAGGTGAAAAGTACGAATGGGTGCGGTACATCTTAGTCAAGATACCATACTATAATCGTTGAAGAATACAAATTTTATAAAAATATATGAGAATGACATAATATTCTAATTTTACGAGTATGATATAAGCATTAAATCGACGACGACGACGACGAAGCATCGACAGTAATGGAACTTATATCATAACTAGAACAAGATCTGAGAACGAGACGAGTCACTGTATGTAAGCTGGTTGAGTAGAACAAAGTAGGATTTATTAAAAATAACGCCTTATAGAAAGGAATAGCAACCACAATATCTCTTGTTTGTTATGGTTAAGCGAGGTTGCCCTTTGTCATTTCAATATATTTTTTGGATCTTCCATTCTTATTCGATTATAGAATGTCATCTTATCTAAGCTTACTAGATATGATTTTTACGAATGAATAATAACTAATTAGGCTATACCCGCTCCATTTTTTTTCATATACCTGGATAAGTTAATATTATTGGGTGTTGGATATCATAATCCAAAGCGAGTACTGACATCCAACACATTTTTTATTTGTGCAATGTGCAAAATCAAAATACTGGAAAAACGTATAATATTATGAATATAATCCAATATATTACAAAAAGATTAGAAAATGTTATAAGTGGGCAACTTACTCTCTGAAACACCGCCTTTCCCTATCATATTCCGCAGATAGCCCATCATCATCGTGAATTATCGCAGATGGATCACTATATACTGATGATTCTTGATAGAATGAGTCCAAGTCTACATAATTGCCTTCAGAAGGCTCGTTATCGAGGAGCTCAGCTAATTGAGACTTTAAAGTAGCAAATGTTGGTCGTTGAGATGGGTCAGCATGCCAACACGAGTGCATAGCTCGGTATAGTTGTGGCTTGCAGTGAGGAGGCCGTTCAAGCCGATAGCCTTCCGTGACGGCAGTTAATACTTCTCGTCCAGACATAGCTGCATAAGGCGTTGAACCTGCGATGACAATATTTAAAATTAATATTTTTTCTACATTTGTTTTATTGGATGGCCAACTAGGATATTTGATATATTTTGTTTGGTTATTTAACTAAATATTGACAATGAAAATGGACGGACAAAATCACTTCATAAAGGTTTTTTTATATACTCTAAAAATTCAAATCACACTAATGTTTACTTAATCTGCATACACTATTACATTCATAAACACAATTTTATTGGTAGATTAGAATTAAGTAAAACTAACCTAATGTAACAATTTCCCACAGCAATATCCCAAAGGCCCATACATCTGTGTGATGGCTGTACACATTGTACAACAAGGCCTCTGGTGCCATCCAACGGACTGGCAATGCTCCTCGGCCACCTCGAGCTCCAGCACCCGCACACCTCGACATCCCAAAGTCAGCTATTTTACATAATTTGTTGTGATCCACGAGGACATTACGAGCTGCTAAATCACGATGGACAATCTGGAATATTAATAGTACGAAATTTGTAATCCTCAAGTCTCAAGAAGACCTTCTAGTTTTACTACTATTTAATCTATAATGTAAAAAAGGCTTGTAAGAAATGACTCTTACGTATGCCTATAAATATTGGCATAAAATGTTAAATGTTAAAAAAGATATATCAATAATTTTAAATTAAATAAATTCATAAGTGTATCAGGCTACTGGTAATACGCTCGCTTTGGAAACAGTGTGAAGTGGGTTCAAATTCCAGGTCTCGCATCTCCGATATTTTAATGTGCGAAGCATTTCCAACATGATTACCACTTGTCTTATAGTGAATGAAAACATCAAAAAGACATGTGGAGTCCGCAAGTCCACACTTCGCCAGAGTGGTAGACTATGGCCCGATCCCCTCGTATTGAAAGAAGGCCCATACCCAGCAGTGGGATGTTAATAGGGGCTAAATATTAAGATATAGGTAATTTATATTTTGACTAACCCCTTTAGAAGCAATATAATCCATCCCCCTTGCGACACAATACGCAAAGACTGTTAGATCACGGGAAGTTAAGGCACCACTGCCACTGAAGCGATCTGGTCTAGATCTCCTCTCGCGAAGATAAGTTAAAAGCTTTCCACACATCACGTACTCCATTATCAGAAGATAGGGTTCTGAAATCAAATAATAACTTTAATAATACAATGTTATTCTTCTAAGTTAAATATATAAAAACTACACAAGCTATATGTATTAACAATTTGAATTTCATTTAATTTCAGATCGTCTTATGTGTATGTAAATTAATCGAACAATTGTAAATTGATGTCATAAATTATTTCATGAGAAAAAAATTCTGTTAGAATTGATACACTATTATTATAAGACTAACCTTGTTCAGTACAACAAGCAAGAATAGTCACAACATTGGGATGTGTCCCAATCTTCTGCATTATGTAGATTTCATGCAAGAGCTCTTGTTTCTCTTTCTGTGAGGCTGATTCTTTAATCGTTTTCACAGCGACTAACCGTGTCAGTCCATCATGACCATTCAAATCGTCTGCTTCGGCTTTCCACACCTTAAAAAAATATTTATTTAACAGTATGTTTAATTTTTTACTTCTAATTGTAAAAAAACATAGTATTTATTATTGATACAGTGCTTATGACATTTTTAGGTTGGCTTAAATGTAATGTATATTTTATTTTTTGTTTTACAAATTACATAAATAAAATTACCTGTCCAAAATTCCCTTGTCCCAATAAAGTTTGTAGTCTAAGCTTGTTTCTTGGAAACTCCCATTTCTGGTCAGGCTTAGTGGGAGTGGGTAATGGAGGACGGGCTACAGGAGTAATCGGCGATTCTTTTTTAATGTCACCACCATCGTCGAAATAGCCTTCGTATTCGGTATCGATTTCTTTGGTTTTCTTATTTAAAAGATTTCGTAGAACAAAAACTACCACAGCTATAACGGGTAAGAAACCTAAACCAGCCAAAACGTATGATGCTGTATAGGTTTTTTCGGCTTCGATCACGACTTCTTCGTTTTGTGAATCATCACTGTTATTATTCAGTACAGTGCTGTTAAATGTTTTGTTAGTCTCGTTAGAGCCAGACAGTACAAGGGGCTTAGAACTAGACTCAGTTGGAGATCGTGATGTAACGATAAAGGATTTGATTGAATTTTCCGCTGTGTCATACATCGTTTGTATTGTTGTTGGTGCTGTACTTGAAGTGGTTGATTCTGCACCATTTATTGTAGTTAAGCTAGGGGCAGTTGTTGTAGATGTAGTCGTTGTGGTTGTTGTAGTTGTAGTTGTTGGTCTACGCCTTCTTGTTATATTTTTTGGTTTTATTGTAATTCCATTAGTTGTATTTTCGTAATCATCTAGCCGAAATTCAGAACCTATTCTATCACTTATCTTGGGAGTTGTAGTTTCTTGAACATACTTGTCACTGGTTGGAGGAAATTCTGAAAAAGGTGTCAAAGCTGCAGATGTTGAAGAACTTGTAGTATATGGACCTTCAGTCGTGGTGGTTCTAATTCGTATGCGATGTCTGAATGGTCTTACAGTTGTAGTTGGAGAGGTGGTAGTTTCAGTGTCCGTTTCATTTATTAAAATTGCCTTTGGTATAGTTATATTATTCGTTTCTTCTAAACTTCCAGCAATTGTACTGTTATCTGTCAACGGTAAATCTGTTTTATTTTGACCTTTAACTGATGATGTTATTGATACTGAAGTAACAACTGCCGTGTAAACTGATGTTGAAGCTTTTTCAGTAGTAGTTGTATTCACTACTTCCAGCAAACCATTTTCAGTACTAGACGAAGTACTTACTCTAGTCGGGCGCCTGCGTAAATTAAAGTATGTTCTCGTAAAATTCCTTGGTGGAGGTGTAGAACTTGTTTTATTTGTTGTAATATCCTTCAAAGTCCCATTTGAACTTATTAATGCTTCTTGCAATGGAGTTGTGTCGTTTAATTTAGTATTTTCTTTGTCTTTATCTAAAATACTTGGTGTAATATTTTGCACAATCGGTTCTGTTATGTTTAATAGAAAAATTGATGAAGGTTTTGGAGTTGATTGCGTTGTGCTTGAAAATTTTCTATACGCATTAACTAAACCAACATGACGTGCTGGTGCAGGTCCTTTTACTGTATTTCTTATTTTATTCTTTTCTATTATATTTTTAACCACGGATACATCCATATCTTCATTAATTTCTTCTTCACCTGCACTACTATTTTTATACTTTTCTGTTGCGGAATACCTTGAATTGAATTTTCGTTTTTCCGGGGGTGCAGCTATAAAATTAACCGACTTTGTTGATGCGGAGAGAGAAGGTGAATTTGTTAAATTGTCAGTAATTCCTTGACCTCCAAGTTTTTGACCAAAATATATAAATGGGGCCATTTCTTCATCAGGTAATTCAGATTCAAGAGGACGAAAATGATTATATATTTCTTCTGACATAAACAGAGTTTGATTAACTTTATCTTTCTCATTATCTATCTTTTCAATTTTTGAATTCTGGGTATCAGTACTGTTTGCTATGGTATTAGCTTCTGGTTTGTCTTCCTTTTCTTGTTCGATAAAAGGTGTTGTTTTTTCTTTCTCTTCATTGGATATTGTAGTAGATTCAGGGTAGAATGTGATATTTTCTTTAATTTCGTTACTTGATGGAATTTTATTCAACTCTAAATGTCCCTGAGTCACATTATCAGTGTCGGAATAATTGAGCAAGTAAAGTCCATGGTTAGATTCATCTACCTGAAATTCTTCTTCAGGATCTAATTCGACTTCTTTATCGAGTCCGTCGAGCTTTTCTGGTGGCACGTAAACTATTGCACTGCCTGTAGTAGTATCTGTTGTAATAGTTCTACTTCCTATATCTTTCCTCCTATTATTTAAAAACCCAGCTCTGCTTTTATTTTCTTGGTATAATATTCTTGGTATAAATAAATGTCTGATTTCATGGGGTTTCACATCTTGACGTATTTCTTTATTACCTTCTCGAGATACGAACTTCAGGGTTGGTGCAATTGCTTCATTGGTAGAGTTTTCAAAAGTTATTCTTTTCACAACGCTGCTATTAGCATCTCTAATTTCTAGTTGAGCAAACGTCGTATTACCTCTGAAAATGATAATAAATATATATATTAGTATTATAATAACATAACTGCCTTGGTGGTTTAGTGTCTAGCATGTACGGCTGCACACCCGGAGGTCCTGGGTTCGAGTCCCGAGTCGGGCTAAGTTTAGTTATAGAGTCTTTCTGTATATTAATTAAGCCTCAGTAACCGCCCGGAGTTGGGAAGTTGGCGGTGTTTCACCCCCGTGCCTCGGAGAGCACGCAAAGCCGTCGTCCTGTGCCTTAACTCTCACTAGTCGTGTCGAATGGTCGTCCCAACAAAGTATGAGAGTGACAGGAACAGAGAGTGCACTTGTGTCTGCGCATACACTTGTGCACTATAATACCTCCTGCGCAATTGGCTAGTCTCAATGAGATTGGCCGCCGTGGCCTATCATAACATAATGTAATACGTTTTTAAAATATAGAATTATCAATAAACGATTACGAATATTTAGTGATTATTTTTACTACATAGTATGAAACAAAGTCCCTATGTATGCTTAGATCTTTAAAACTACGCAACGGATTTTGATGCGGTTTTTTTTTAATAGATAGAGTGATTCAAGGGGAAGGTTTATATGTATATATAATACATGCATATTATAGGACAGAAAAGCCGATAAATTCAAAGATTTGTATTTCATACTAACCGTTAAAACGTACCTAGGCACGATCCCGAGCGAAGCAAGGGCGTATCGCTAGTATAATTATATTTTCAAATGCAATTGTATTTTAATGGTCTTTGAAGTAGTAAAGATCAAAATAAAAACTCACTTGTGAGGCTTATGAGCTAAGGTAGCTATAGTGTTGATATGTGTGGTCAGCCTCCCGGTCAGCAACTGTCTCCGCCTCGCAGCCAAAAGAGACAGAAGTTGCGAGTCTCTCGTCGTATTCACGCTACTTTGTGTTGTCGTTCGTCGCGCACTCCCTGAAATCAAGATAAAATCAATTAAATATTATGTTTCCAAAATCATCTTATCTTGCTATATGTAATTAAATATTTTAAATGTAGTATTCATATATGTGAAAATATTCTAAAAGATTCATCGTTCCATCACTTTCATTATTTCATTTTCTTTTTATTGCCAAGTTTAAGTTTATGTCGTAGAACCCACAAAACGCTCGTAACAATCCACCCTAATCAACCGAAAATTAACCTGAAGCGTATGATTTGGTCGCCACAACCGACCTCAAATGGCGGATTGCATGACAATAATTAGATATAATCATCAAACCATCCTTCACCTCAAAACTGAACAATAGCGCAGATGAAATGTAAACGATTAAAAACAGATTATCAAACCTTGACATAACATGAAAATTTGCTGATGAGTTTTGAAAAATAACTTTAAAATTAATATATTTTGTAGATCCAATATATTGCTATTTATAATGGTCAACTTCAAGATATTTCATATTATGCTCACAAAAAAAAACCTTTCATATAAATGCTGCTTATATAAAATTTATTATTTTCTCTCCTGCTAACATTAAATATCATGTAAAATAAATAAAACTCAAATTCTTTAATGCTAAAGTTAATAATCGTTTTACTCATTTGGCTTAAATAAAAACAATCTAAAATAAAAGTTAATAATATACTAATTAGTAAATCATATTATTAAGTCATGGAAAACTTCGCAAATCTGTGAGAAGAATTCTAGTAACAACTCCCGTGAGATAAACATTAAACATAATACCAATACCATAATAATAATACAACTGACTTATAATACTGTCATATTTATTTATGTGTAAAAATATAAAAATCGAAGACCAAAAGTATTTATAAAACTATTTGAATAAAGTATAATTTGATTTGATATAATAATATAATGAGTATATATTGTTTAGTCATTTGAAAATGTAGGCTATCTAGTCATTTGGGGTTGTGGAATGCTCTGTGAATCGAGTGCATCCCGATTTAGGCGAGGTGGCCTGCAGTGTTGTCCGCAGGGGTACTGGAGCGATCCTGCATGACCCCATTGCACTGCGGCAACGGGTTCTACTGTTGGTAAATAGAAGTCTGACAGTCCCCTGCCCGTCGACCCTATGATGGGTTTCCCAGCATCATAACACATGACTATATAGTCAAGAGGATGCTAATATTATACCAATTAGTTTACAAAGTTAGATATAGGACATGTTATATTAATATTAACCATATTCCTCAAAAATCTAGGGAAATTTCTAGTAGTACAACTAGTAATATAAAATCACAGCTCACAGACAATGACCTAAAAATTTTACATTTTAATTGACTGCTTCTTCAAAGTAAAAAGTTACATGAATGGCGCACGCTCAGTGAAATTAAAACGACACGCGAGATTTCTAAACGCAAGCAAAACATTATTAATTGTATTGAAAATTATTTAATAATCATCATCAGGTATTTACATTACACGAAATTGTTTCTCTTAAATTTGTTGTATCATGTAAAGTCGACTAAATACTGCACACCAGATGATTTAAAAATAAGAATTATTATTTCGTTACCGTGAATCACAATTTCAATTTCGATTCACCGTGTTTGTACGTACGAGTACGTTGTTCTATTATAGGATTAAATCTATATACAATAATTGTTACTGACTGATTCATATTGCTGCTTAGTTGAAAGTTTAGAACGTCTTTATAGCAAAATAGTTAAATTGCTTAAGAATATATGCCAAGCGTAGACATTGAGAGTGGACTGATTCTATGCCAGCCATCAGCTAAACATGGCGGACAGGCTCGACAGAGACAACACAAATGTAGTATTGTCTTTTGTATTAATACGATTATTGAAGATAGTTTTTTTGTTACTTTTTACAATTTTACATTCCATTTAAAAACTCAAACTGGAACAAAAGATAGCTATTGGCCGCACGTTCGCTTTCTCTCTTTCTAAAGAGTGGCCAGTTGCACGAGAGTATTGCTCAGTCCATTCTCTATGTCTATGGTGCCAAAACAGTTGTAAAATAAAAACAGTCAACGACAAGAATAGTGGATTATCAATTTGCATGAGTGAGAGAGTGACAAAAGACTTTCCAGAACAAAATTGAAATTACTATAAATATATGAAAAGTTGTGACTGATTATATTTATTAGATATTTCTGCGAACATATAAACATATTCTAGTGGAATTCGGAAAAAAATCAAGACAAGATAATTTTTAAATATATATTATGTAAATAATTTTTTTTTAATTGAAATAAAACCAACCAGAACAGGTAATAAAACAAATAATTGTTAGTTGTATTAAATTTTTATTATGTTACGGAGTGCTTTGTCTAACATCTAACCTTTAACGATTGAAGCGATAAGGAAAGTAATAATTATTATGACTCATAATAAACTGCACTTATGTGCAAACAATGCTTAATTTTAAATATAAAAATTGCTATTAAGATATTAATATGTGAAGAACATAATTTAAGATGAAAATAAAATATATTTATCTATACTAAAATTGTAAATTGCAAAGTGTGTTTGTTTATTTCTCATTCTTTCAATCAGCAATGGAGCAATGAATAATCGTGTATTTCGCATATAAATAGTTTATTGTTTCTAAAAGTGCTATAAGGTACTTTCCATCCCGATATAACATCATGTTTTTCTCACTGCCAAGACTCTAGCTAGGTATAATAATACTTCCTTCGCAAAGCTAGGTTGTATGTGGTTTACCTTGTCTATGCGTCAGAAATCGCAGGTCTCCTTTAACTAAGATAAAGCGCTGTTAAAGATTCAGTTATCCAGCCTCCAGTGATTTAAATGTTAGGGGTATGTGGAAAACAAAGAGAGGAGTATGTAAAGCAAAACAAAGTATGTAAAGCTATTAAAACAACAATAAAAAATGTACCTAACATAGCCAAAATTAACTTGTTGAATCAAAAAAAAACGTGTGTGTGTACTTATGTACGCACGTTAGAAGTTATACTTCTTTGGCGTAACACAACAAAAATATAATACTTTCTTAGATTTAAGTGAATATTTGACTGGGTACTACCATCGTCATCTCTCTCGTGACCATGATTGCTGTAAAGCATTCGAAACGTCGGGAACCAAAAATCCAAATAAATCCGCAAAAAAATCCGAAAAGATAGTTTTATTTAAAAAGAACAAAAACATCTAAAGATTTCATCCAGTATGTCACAACTCTCTGTTTATAAAAGGAATGCAGCTAACTTCATCATGTCGTTTTTTGGCTGTCGGTCGCGCATCTTAAAAAAATTTAGTCTCATATTTCTTTCCACACGTGCCAAAAGAAGTATAACTTCAAAAAAATATAATAATATAGTATATTAATTTAATATACAAAATATTAAAAAAACGAGGTAGGATTACAATTATATAGCAATCATAGACAAAAACTATAACGAAACGATTTACATTAATCGAATTTTAGATTTAGTCGCAGTGCCTCTCACATTCCTGTTGCTCTCGAATTGGCCTAATTGTCGACTTGAATGTTTCACAATTTAAGATCGCATCGAGTTTTCGTACACAATTAGCGAATACTTGAATTATTATTACAAAACTTTATGTAAGAGATATGTAAAGTACCCGCTTATATTATCTAGGTATATGAAAGTAATCGTAGTAACTGGGAAGATATTTTAAAAAATCCATTAGTTAGTTTAAGACGTACTAATGACAGATACATAATTATACCTATATATAAATAAATAAAATAAGTATGTTGGGACATTACACACAGCGCCATCTAGTTCCATGGTAAGCTACGAGGCTTGTGTTATGGATACCAGATAGTTGATATACTACAAATATATAAGTTTAAATTGATAAATATTATAAATATAAACACCCATGACTGGAGTACAAGCATTCGTGCTCATGACACGAATGCCCCCAGCGGGACTCGTACTACAAGCTATGTTTCTTGAAAGATTAAGGGGTTATCTTATTTTTAAAAAGTTTGTTGACGCGTTGTTTACTACTTTTTTATATATTATGGGTTTGAAATAATGTGCTCCTATTAATTGTGGTAAAGTGTTTACCATAAGAAAATAATATATTCAGAAAAATATGGAAAATCATCTATACATAGGTATCATAAAATTCTGAGTCGAATCTGTACATTTAATATTTTATGGAAAATCTTATTGAAATAGTCATTATCGATACAGAAGCAGAATCTATAGTTTTTAGAATTTTGGTCTGTCTGGAAACGCATCACGAGAAAACCACTGGACAGATTTTGATATGGTATATTTAGGATACTTTTTACTGCGAGTCTGAGAAATCTATACTAAAAGTTAAATATACCTAGGGACGAAACGAATGGAGGGAAGGGGAGTCGCTAGTTTAGATATGATTTTTAAAATGTCTATTTTCCAACGATTAGGTATATCTTGTCTAAATCCCCAGTGACATTAGCGTAGGAAAGTTGGTAAAAAATTAACATTCTAATAATAATTTAAGCTTCCATTTCGCTTATACAAAAATAATATCTATATGTGTTATATTCCGTAAAGCTTGACTTAAAATCAAGCTATAGTGAAACAAGTTGAAGCTTGGGAAAACATATTTCGTAACAATCTTATCGCATTTACTGACGGCTCTTAAAGTTCATACCATGTTCTTTTATAAACAAATCAGGTGTCCGTGATCTATACAGCGATAATGAAGGCGTGGTTTCGAATTTGATTTATGTGTCATATCTTATTTAGCAACAACTTTGATTCCCAGTTTTTACAAAAAAGGTTGTACAATGTCCATCTTAAACTTTGTGGCAAAAAACCTTCAAATAGAGGAATTAGTTCTCTACTACGATATATATATGTACATATTTTATTTCAATGAATAGTAGTTATAATGTATTTTTCAACAAAATGCTTTTTTCTATACTACTATTATATAGAAAAAAGATTGGTTTGTTTGTACCGAATAAGCTCCGAAACTACTGAACCGATTTAGATGACATTTGGTAAAAAATAGTTTGAGATCCTCGAAAGGACATAGGATAGTTTTTATCCCAGAAATCATGCTTTAAGGGGGTAAAAATGGGGATAACAGCCCGAGTTGGGGGAGTTTTACACTATGCTTTGGAGAGCACGTAAAACCGTCAATCATGCACCTGATCTCTCACCAATTGTCTCAAAATATTACCCTATCGGAAATTGAGAGTGAAAGGAGAAGTGAGTGCACTTGTGTCTGCGTGTACACTAGTGCAATATAATATCTCCTGCGCATCTGGCTAATCTCAGTAAGATTGGCCGCCTTGCCGGAAATGGGTCGTGAGGATATCAATATTATAAATACAAGGAGTTTCTAAGGATGCTAAGTATAAGAAATCGCATGATCGATTATTATTAAACAAATAATGGTAACTCGCATACCCATACTAATATTATAAATGTGAAAGTGTGTTTGTTTGTTTGTCTTTCCTTACGTCGAAACGGCTTGGCAGATTAGTGTAATTTTTTTGTGTGCAGATAGTTGAAGGGCTGGAGAGTGACATAGGCTACCGCGGGAGATTATCTCTTTTCCACGGGAAAACACGTTATAAATTATAATACAATCAAAAAAATATTGATGATCAGAATTTCTTGAAACTTGTTATAAATGCTCTTCAATACAATTAATTAAATACGTGTTTTAGCATTTTTTTTAATTCATCCCCTATGGGGGTAAAATAGCGGATGAAAGTTTGTATGAAACCTACCATTTTATAGAGTTCTTTTTGTAGTTTTAGCGCGAGCGAAGCCGCAGGTTCTGCTAGTATGTATATAAAGTCCACAGATATTACTTTAAAATAAACAAGACAAAGGAAAATAAAATAGCTTTGTACCTTATATGTAAAGGGAAGGTTAGTTGTAAACTCATCGCAGATAGATGTAATGCCAAGGGCATGAGTGTCATCCTCACCTTCGCTGCAGTGATCAAGTAAATGCATTTTAAATAATGATTAAGTCTCACTTAACATCGAAATTAATATTTCAAGTCTAGAGAGGGCATATATAGTATGTATGTATGTACATATGTAATTGTTTTTAATATATCTTATTTGATCCAGATGCAAATTAGCACTTGTATTATAAATACTAGCATTGCCCGCGGCTCCGCCCGCGTTTAGATAACCAAAAATCAACTTTTTAGGTTTTACAGATTAGTATAATTTTAATGAGATATTTTCCCTCGGTAAAAAGTATCCTATATGTTGACCCGGATAATCAGCTATCACCATACAAAATTTCATCAAAATCCCTCGAGTGCTCTCTGTGATGCGGTAACAGACAGACAGACAGACAGACAGACAGAAAAAATTCTAAAAACTATAGATTCGGCCTCTGTATTGAAAATAATGTTTATTTCAATAAGATTTATATATATATATATATATTATATATATATATATTATATATATATAGATTATGAAGTACATTCACAAGTATTGTATTGTACCTATATAATACTAATATAGATTAAAGACTTACATTACGAAAGTCTGTGATTCTACAGACTTAATGAAGACACAGTCTAAAGGGCTTCCTTTCACTGAATAGATACGGTTCGGCTTATATTAGCATAAACCATTACGCAGTTAGCCAATTATTTAAAACACCCACTCTATTTCCAAAATTATTACATAAGCCAA